ATTCTAGCCAATCATTTTACGTTTCCGTAGGATAACAGGATAGTAGGCGGGTCCAGGTACGTACGTTCTTTTAGAGCAGAGCTACAGATTAAAAATGCCCAAGGCGAAGCGGGCAAAAGTCTGGCTGTACTTCACTGCAAAAGATGCAAACTCAGCAGCCTGCAACAAGTGCTTTAAGCTGATACTGTCAAAGGAGGCAACACCTCAAATCCGATGAAACACCTGGCGACGCATAGCGTTTTTTTTTTAAAGCCGAGAAATGCGGCGTATTTGATAGCTTGCTGCGAGACCTCACACCGAGCACATCTACTGTGGGTGGGTTGCCAGTTATCGGACCCGGAGTTAGCAACATCCCCCAAAAACACGAAGAGGAGAGTCCTGGCCCCTAGCCCTGCCAGTGTAGCAGAAATGATGACGGATGATGATGGCAGCAGCAGCCGTTCGTCTCGGCGTTCGTGTGTAATTTACGTTGAGTAGGCTCACCACGTTATTACATTAATGCATGTAAGGTGAACTAGCAAACATCATCATAGTTACATGCGGCTGTCTTCTTGTTTGATGGCAGATACTCCCTTCACCCTGGCCAAAAAGGTTAAAATGACCAAAGAAAAAGTGGAAAACAGCTAAACATGAGAGGTTTTTGGACAAAGTTTGTGTTTTTTCCATTGTTTAAGCACTGCTTCCAGCCAAGAGTGATACCATATATGCCCCATAGCTGCAGAAAAGGCTAACATTGTTATCTTTTTACAAAAACCAGCTGAACATGAGAGGTTTTTGGATCAATTTTGTGTTCTCCATCCTTTAAGCACCGTTTAAGCACCGGCACCGTTTCAAAAGTACCGGTTTGGCACCGGTATCGGATAAAACCTAAACGATACCCATCCCTAATCAAGAACAAAAGGACCTAGAATGGATCCTTGAGGGATCCCGCCTTTAGTGGAACATTTAACTTCATCCATTAAACTGAGCACAATTCGGTTTTCTGAGTGCTTTCAAACTTTTTTCTTCTCCTGTATAATCAACTAGTCAATCAGACACGAGGAACATCACGGGACTATACACAGAGAGATATATGTACAGCGATAAGGAAAATAAATCATGTATTTCATGTGGTTCTACCTTCAAACACCCAGCGATGAAAAGACTAAATGTGGCTGTATCCCCTACTGATGTCCCCATCCTTCCTCCAGCAGTCCACGCTTTAAGCCTTCCAAAATCTATTTCCTCTGCTGGCCTTGAGTCTGGCTGGTAGCTTTGGAAAAACAGCGCGGCTGTCCTGACATTCACCAACTGGCCTGGACCACATTAAGTGGGAAAAAGGAAACCGGCAGCTCTGACCATCCTTCCCTCTGATTAATGCTTCAGAGAGTCTTTCGGATTTGGCATGTGATAGCTGAACTGATGCCAGCCCGTCTAGTCCTGACATATTGGGCAGGCAGGCAGACATGCACACACGTCAAATGTAGCAAACTGAAGAGAAATCAGCTCTTGTCTCAAGTTCAAGTTGAGATAAACAACAAGCTGTGCTGCCTTTCCTGACCTCAGACGTCCTCCTCCAATGATTAACTGCACTAAGCAGAGTGACAGGACAGTGAGAATGTGGATCACAAAAACTGCATTATGTCTCATAACTCTCAAATGTCTGCTTGTCCAAACATGCCGCATATTTGATTCAGGAATTTAGGCAAAACTCCAGGCCGACCACTCTGAATATCCGCTCACGACGATGGCATCACAGGTCGAGCATCAGCATCGTGAATGCAGGGATGCTGAGAGGCCTCGATGTCTCGTACCGTACACACATCTGCCCCTCTGGTGTTGAGCCAACCGATCAATAAGAGTGGTGTCATTTTTGACCCTTGCAGTACTTTAACCTGAAAACATCATTATTTATGTATGAGGTAAGGGATTTATGGCGCTATATGCACTCAGAACACACAAAACATGCAATGCATTCAAAATTTCCTGAAATATCTAGTTCTTATTTATATTTCCATTAACAAAGTTGTTTTTTTTCCACAATTCGTTTTAGCTTTGGTTACTTTAGTGCTCAACACCATCACCTTGTTTTACCTGGGATTCTCTCTCTCTCTCACACACACACACACACACACACACACACACACACACACACACACAGGACTCTGTCAATATACAAACACAGGTGTCCATTTCCAAAAACATCTCAATTTCTGCTCATTCATAAAACTGAGTCAGCGCCGTTTGCAGAGGTTTGATTTCATGTATCCTAAAGCAGCGTAGTACTGTGGATACTGAACATAAATATAGTAAATGGTTAAAAAAAAGAAATAAGGGTGGATGTTTAGTTGGCTGTAGTAATGCTATAGGAAAAAAAAGAAACCAAAGCAGCACCTGAGCACATGGGAAACAGGCCTGGAGCGGAGCAGAGACATTACATTATGGCAGTGCATGTGAAGTTCCCCCTGCTCACAAAGCTGCTTTGCTATTATGAATATCTGCACAGTTACATAAGCACATATTAGGTTTGAAATAAAATTTAAAAAAAGAAGAGAGATGAGAGCCGTCTGAATCAGAAGATAAGGCTGCCAGGAGTGAGTCGTGTTGCAAGTAAGAGAGGAGGAAATGAAGAAGGAGCGCACGACAAAAGCATGCTTGTGGAAATTCACTGACACCTGAAAACTAGACAAAAATGGTTTTGTTTTTTGCTTTTTAAATCTCTCTTTTAAATCCCAGCTGTGAAGATGAGAGTGCCTGAAAGAGACGGGCACATGCTGGGCTAGTTGTTGCTGGGACTTGAAAGGGATGATCAAGTTAAGAGCTAACACATGTGCTGCTAATGTCTTGCATATCAAGCTTCCACGCCATCGCCAGAACCAAAAAAAGAACTGTGAGAGCATGCACCCAAGAGGAGGAGACGATAGTGTTTGAATGGAAAAAGTAACAGGAGGTGTGAGAAGAGACAGGAGCTCTACGGAAAACACATTTGAACAAAGTTTTTACCACGTATGAAGCGTGTGCATGTGTGTGAGACCCTCATGCCATTACAGGTGAGGTTCTTTCAAATTGCACATAATAAGATCTACAATGGTACCAATAATTAGGCAGCCTATTAATCTACTGTCATGCAGAGGATTGGATGGAATATAGACTACAATCCTGGAACGTAAAAATTAAGGTGAACACTCTGGTGGCACAGCAATCTTAATATACACCCATAGGTTACCTTAGTGAATGACCGAAAGACATTTCGGCTAATGATTCTCATGTCTGTCGTTTTTTCACTTGGGACCCGCGTAGAGATTTGACTGTAATATTGTTTGAACCTATCCTAATTCATGCAAATCCTGCATCTACAGGTTACAAAGAAGAGTTAAATATGATGGGAATGAATACCAAAACAAAAAAATTATCGTATGCTGCTTCATGCCTCTAATCATTTCACAACCTGTGCACAAAGAATCAGCCAGACATCAATCATCAGTCTGTGAGTAAGAGGTTCCAGTTTGGAGACCGCCTGCTTGGAAATGCACAGCACAAAAGCCAGTTGGGTGGGGGTAGAGGGGGTAAAGAGGTATTTGGGTCAACATTTTTCATATTTTCGGCCTTTCATTTGTTTATCCTCTGGAATACCAACATAACATACTTCTGCACAGCTCTTTCTCAGCCCCGCCGCTCCGAGCTCTCTGTACTGTACCTTCCCTCCAAAAGCTTTTAAGTCTCCTAATGAGATTAATTAAGCCGGTCCAGAGTTTGTTTAATGAGGCCCTAGTGGCCTGAAGCACGGAAAAAGACCCATGGCTGGGAAACGGGAGCTTTGCATTCCAAATACAAAACAAAAAAAGAAAAGAAAAACAGCAGAACTTTAAAGAAGGCTTTAAAAATAGGCTTTGCAAAGTTAAACCATCAGTTAAGTGGTGGTAATCCATTTAGCGACAGAGCAGCTGGACACATTTACAGATCAGTGAGTCAGTAACTAAAATGGATACAGTTTCCAGTGCAAATTCCAGTCTGGAGGACCCTTGATTGTTTCCTTTCCTTCTCTGAATGAAGCCTCAGGAAGCAGACTACACTCCCATCGTTGGACAAGTTTAGTGACTTCCATCAATCTTTGTCTAATTCACTTCTGATCAGGTCAGTTGCCTCCCTTTACATTTTGCTTGGATCAAGCTACAAAGCACAACTTCAGCAGCTCTAATTTAAATAAAATGAATTAATTTCAGTGACTTCAGAGCTTGCCATCACCTTTGATGTGTAATCAAACGTTTGCTACTGCCACCAAGTCTCTCAGATGGGAGAAGCAGCACTTTTAGGCGTGCTCACAGCGAAGTGGGCCTTCATTTTTAACTGCTGTCCACGTTTCTCAACATTGCCAGCAGCCTCCTAGCACTAGCTTGTAGTAATGCACCCGTACATGCATCGCCTCAGTATCTGTGCACCGATACGACATTACACACGCGGTTTTTCTTTTCTGCATATCAGCTGATTTTGCAGTTTGCTTTGGTGACAAAATAGAATCAAACAGCAGGAAAAAAAAAAAAAAAAAAAAAAAAAAAAACACTCAGTGACACAGCAACAAATTTCATTAACAGGTCCACATCTCAAAATAATCTTGGCTGTTTTTTGACTCATGCTTGTGCTCTGCTGCCAGTAATTCACTTACCTCATATCAAGTATCTCCTAATGCATCAACAGTCTTATCTTTCATATGACAAATTAGATTTGGAACTTATCAAAAGATAATTTATGAGTAAGCGTTACATCAAAGCCCATTTGGTTAAAGTAGCGCCAAGAACTCATCTCATCCTGGATGTAAAGTGCTGTTACAGTCAGTCGGAGCTGGATTCCCGAAAACAAACACTAAACACACACAGAATGCTCATGAGCCACGTGCTCATGTACCTATAATCTAATCAAATAATAACTAAACAGTGTGATGTGATCAATATAGGTCTCCCTTTATTGTAGCACAAAACTTCAGTTCAGTAACAGGTTTTGATCCCAGTGTTTTGGGGGTTTACCTATCTGCCTCTCCAGGTCGGCGGCCTCGTCTGGGCTGGCCCTGGGCAGCACTCCGGGGTCACTGAAGCTCGTTCTCAGGAGCGTCCCCAGCACAAACAGAAACAGCACACCTCCTATGACCGGGATGACTGGAGTCAACTGCTGCGCCAGGAACGGACAACTGTAGGACAAGGAGAGGCGATGAGGAAAAGATGAGCAACAATGACGGCAGAAACGCAGTCTTGGTGTAACACTGGACAAACGCCGGCAGGCTGCCGAGCTCGATTTAATCGTTAGCACATAACGGACACCAGCGGAGACGAGCGCGGAAACTGATGAAGTGGAAACACCAAACTCTCGCTGCTTAATGACCAGTAAGTGGATATGACCGCTTAATAGACCGACACACATGTAAGAGTCAGTCCCCTGTGTTTTAATCTGCTTTAATGAGACAAACTCACATAATCCCATTAAACATCCAACAGCGCAGGTGGTTATTACAGTAATCACATTTAGGTCCCACAGAGGCAGGACACAGGCTGCTGCATCCCATTTCATCTGTTACACTGTGGTCTGCTGGATCAGATTTGAGGTCTGCAAAGAGGAACTACTCCAGACAAGGACGGCTGAAGGAACATGTGGCAGCCATATGCTGTGAGGGATGTTGCTGAGGAATGCAGAGCAGCACTGCCACACTGGCAGGACTGAGCACATGCCGCCGACATGTTACGCAGTTTATGGAAACAGCAAACCATGCAGCGTGCATGTTTTTTCCCTCGTTATCTTTTACTCGCAGTGTGATGTCACTCACCAGTTTTGTGCTCTGTATTTTGAACACATTTTTGGGTAACTGAGCTGTACCCATAAACTTCATGGGCCACTAAGTAAGCACACACACCAGCGAATCAGTAAACATGGTTTTTCATGCTGTACTATGCAGCTCGACTCGTCTTGGAACCAGCCTCGAGCGGCCAGCAGAGAAAGTGCAGATGTTTAGCATCGGCTTCTTTTTTCAGCTCAGGTTGGTTTTATCACGCTGGTCTTCAGATGAAGCACCTTAGGGGTATGATATGTGCCAACACCAGTTAATCTGCTGAACTGGGCCATATTTAGATTTGCCATGCTGGGTTCTTCTAACGATAGTGGTCTGAGTAGACGCACATTTGAACTGGGATCCAGCGTCTTCTGTCCTCTCATAAGAAAAGAGTGTAGAAGTTACACATCCTGCCGCCATCAGTTCATTTTGGTGTGAAGTTAAAAATAAAATCTAGATAAGAGGCTCTGTGAGATGAATACCAAGTAAAAGATTTTATGACTCAGAAAGACTGAAGCTGACCTGAGCTGTACCCTGGCTGAGTGCAGACAGTCCAGTCCTGCTGCTCTCTGCATCCACAGCGACACAGAGCTCAGCAGAAAACTCTCGACTGTCAGTGGGAGGCTGCAGACGGCACGGCTCCCAGCAGGATGCAGTTTCTCCTGCTCTCCTTGGTAATTCATTGCTTCAAATTTGAATCTCATTTCTTTTACGTCAATATAAGTTTTGAATGATTTAAAAACGCTGCCTTCTCTTTTTAGGACGTGGACACTCTGTGTGCTTCACACCTCCTGCTTCTACACTCACCACAGCAGAGATATCATCCTCTAACACCAATCAAACAGAGCATGTTCTCGTCACGGGACGAGGCAGCAGTGCAGCCCACTTTTATTTATAGAAATCTGAAAAAATATCATCACCAATTCAACTGTAAATATTAAAATGTGCACAAATCAGGCTGCTCTTCACCTCCACATGTGTTTTAATACTCTCATATTGCTCGTTGTGCTGTATTTATCACATAGATATGTATGAGTAGTATAATTTTTTTTTTCTATAAAAACCCAACTAGGGCCTATGCTATAAATTGCAGGTTTTAAACATAAGGCCAAGAGGCCCACAGGACATCTCTGCAACAGGTGAAGGAGGACACAGATTTTGGTCTTCTAACTGTATTCTCAGTTTAGGTTTTACTGCTCGTCCTGCTGATGAGGACGTCCCCACAGTCTTTCACACTACAATGACAGAAAAACAAATGACAGAAGTTGTCCACCCCCCCAATAGAAATTTATGTTTTGGTTTGTTTTTAAATAGCGTGTCCACAGTAAAATCCATGAATGTAAATTTAAAAAAAAACAAAAAAAAAACAGGGTATTTTTGGTGAATTACAGAAACCTTTCTGCTTTATAATTCCAGGACAGTGAAAAATGAGCACTGAGAAGGGTTCCTGTAAATCTACAGATCTTTTTACAGTTTAAGCTCACAGAGTTGTGCCGACAGATTTCTTTCATTAAATCGAGCAGCATTTTTTCCTCGTGTAGTGAAACACACGTGCAGTTAAATTCTTTTCTTATATTGAGCAGCACAGTGATTAAATGTGCAGCTAAACTGACAGAGGGGAGCATGAGGGACGGGGACAGGAGAACTGGACTATGGAGCCGGCCCTGCCATTGATCCCTCTCAGCTGGGAGACACAAGCTGACTGGGAAACTGCTCTAAGTTGCTCTACTGCTAAGAAGCTGCAAAATGCGTGTTTTTAGAAACTTAGCTGTAACTGAAAGACTGGAAACAAATCAAACTGCACCAAGAGGACTGTGCTGGTGCCAAAAACACATTTTTAGCAAAGAACATTAAACATAAAAAAATGTTTCCATCGAGCTCGTTCTCGTGTTGACATTCAGAACTTTCCCATGCCGTCCAAACTGCTTTTTTCTCTTGATGGATTGTTTAACCTTGTGGTGTCTAAGTAACTTTTTCACTTTCTTTAACCTAAAATGCACAAACTAGTAATCTAATCTAAGCTCATTTCAAACACATCATGGCAGTTTATTCAGGACTCTAAGCCATATACTTCCCATAATTCAGTAGGATGTATAACCACGTGTAGCAGCAGCGAGCTGGAGCAATCAGTGACTTTATCGCTCTCTCATATAACTGTGGAGGCGACCCAGCAGTTATTTACACGCAGCTCTCTTTAGGTTAAACTAACCTTAACTAACCCTTGTCTAAACTTCAGTCTCATGGTGACAGAGCCCTCTCTGCGGCAGGTCCCAGACTCTGGATATCAGATCTGCACAAACGCTCAAACATCATAAATCGTTACTAAAGACACATTTTTATAGTCTGGCTTTAAACACACGTTGCCCTAAACATTTTGGTTTTAACAGTCGTTGTTGTTTTTGTTATTGACATTTTATTTATTTTTCTATATTTTACTGTATTATTGTTGTGCATTTTATTTATTGTAGTGGCATTTTACAACCAGTGTAGGCCGAGCTCCAGCTGCCAGACAGCTGGCCTCACATCTGACTCTAGAGAGGAGTTCATGGTCTGTCAGGTGCTTAAATCATCAGCCCTCCACCACCGTGCTGACAGCTGGTATGAGGTGTTGGGTTTTCTCCAAAGGTGCTGCTGTTCGTTCTGGGAAGGGTTTCCCTTCCAAACCAGCCATACTTGTTCATGCTTGTAAACAACAGCACTGACGTGAATTGTAGTCTTTAACATGCCAACTTAGGACCGTCTTTTTTGTATTTCTCTGAGCTTTGCAGACTCTGAGGGGAATTTGCTGTGACATCCACCCAGGAGTGGACGTCACACACGTGAATCCTCCAGATCTGCAAACTGCTACAACATCTGCTTACACTTAATGATAAGATAATCAAGGGCATCTGATTATCAGCTGATATTCTGTCTGTATAACTTCAATAAGCAATAAGTTAAGCTAATAAAACAATAGCATAGCATACAGGGGGATTGTTTTAGCCATTAATAAATGAGCCTGCAGCTTGATGCTGGAGGGTGAATCACAGCAGCTGAGAGAGACCCACAGCCTGCCTCTGTCAGTCTACATCTGTCCCAAGGAAACATACAATTTCAAAGTCTTGTGTCATTACAGAGCATCTTTTCATCCGCCTGCTCAATCTTGCCTCTATTCACTATGATTGGTCACACACCACATTAATGAATCCTCTAATTAGAAGTGCTAATGGGAAATTGTTACAGTTGTAAAAAGCTTGGCAGACCTCGTGTGAGGGTGCTGCATCTGTAACAATTAACCCAAAGCTGAGATCTGCACAATTCTGAAGTAATCAAAATCAAGCTGAAACGATCATTTAGAAATGAATACATGATGGACTGCGGGGAAGGTTCTCTTTCTGCTGACCAACAAAGTGCACGTGAATGTGCACTCTGTGGCAAACAAAAACATTTCTTACATTTCAAAACTTGTCATTCAGCGAATGCCTACAGAGAAGTCTGAGAGAGCAGAGTGAAAACCTGCTGCCTGTGTCCTCAGGTGCTGTGTCTCAATGTGTCAGACATGGGGAACATAATGAAAAGGCAGTCATGTGTGATAGAAAGTGACAGGTGGGTAGAGCTGGGCAGAGATTAAGCACTAAAGCCATTAGAGGAGCAGGACAGGAGCGACATGAAGCCTGCCTCTTCTATCCACATGGATCGATAGAAAAACACGGACATGCTCTAGGCAACCAACATCTCGCCTGGTTCAAGATCTTCCTGACAAAGTCTTTAAAAAAAACCTTTATCAGCCACCGAACACGGAGCGTAAAGCCTACAGGCCACTCTCACTGCCTTCAAGCTTTGAAACGAGCAGAAATTCACAAGGAAATTCAAATTTGCATCTTTACTTCTCTTTACTTGACACAAAATCTTATATTTAACTGGGCCTTTGTTGCCATGGAGACGGACAGTATCCAATGTCAGACGTGGTAAATTTCGAAGGGGGATGTGGTTACCCTGGAAACAGCCACATGAGTGAGGCTGAAGCTTCCAAGGAACAAGAAAAAACCCCACAAAAATACATTAAAAAAAAAAAAATAATAATAATAATAATAATAATAATAATGAGACAAGACAGCACGATTGCTTCGATACAGCCCTTTTAGGTGTCTCAAGAAATCGTTTGATTAATAAAGACAAAGAACTGCTGTTGATGTGATCCACAAAGACCACAGGGGAAATCTCAATACATGTGCCTGAATAGGAACAAACAGTGACTTATCTGATGTTGGTATCATCGCAGTGACAGTGAAACAGAAAAAATGCCTGTTATTTATTACAACCTACGAGTTTATGGGCCTTTGACGAAGTTTATGAGCAGAGTGAACTCAATGCTGTGAGTTCACCCA